GGCCTCGGAATCCGCGAAACCCCGCAAGCCCTGAGATCCGCGGGCTCTTGCCGACTCCCGCAGGCTCCGGTGCGTCGTAAACATTTATGAATTTTTTGTTGCAATATCACGAAAAAGATCTGTGCTGTACAGGAATTGCCTTGAATTAATAGTATGACCGAGCCCTTTATTATTTTATAAAATAATAAAGCAATTATTGGTACATCAAATTAACGATATAGTAGAAAAATCTGACATGTATTTGACACTGATTGGTGCGTCGTTATCTAGCAGAGAAGAAAGGACGAGGATGGAATTTCTTAACGATTCGTCAATGTTCTCCGGGGGCGTAAAAAGGACCATGCAGTACACGCTCAGCAAATCCCTACGCTAGGGCTGCACTTGATCAAGCGGATCTCTAGGGAGTATCGACTGCCTAACAAAGGGGAAGAGGACATCCACTTAGATCAACGTGATCCTGTTCCTGCAAGACGCGCGTGCCTTCGCTTTTCTGTCTGCTGTCGCTTCCTTTTATTGCATCTTTTCTATCCACAGCTCGATCGGTGGCTCGTTTGCATCGATCGCTCTCGCAAATTGCAGGCCCATTCTACGCGAATCGAGTTGCCGCTGTGAGCAATTGCTCCTCAAAGACCACTTGCTCTTTCCTCGAGACCGATTAAATCTCTATTTTGCAATCTTGGCGAGTTAACTCGCAGAGAAGCAAATTTACAAAACTGTCAAGTCTTAAATTCAAAAAATAATTTTAATCAAATAGTAAATTTATAATATTTTTTGAAAAAAATTTAGTTAAAATAACAAGCACTAACAGCTTCAAATTTGATATTAAAATTTTGTATATAAACCGAATAAATTTGTGTACATAAATTGAATAAACCTTTTTAAGCTGTTATCGAAGAATATAAGATAACGTTTTCTTACCTAAAAATGACACAATTTAAAGAATATCAAGTCAGAAAAAGAGAATAACCATTTTTCAACTTGACAGAAAATTGACTAAACTAATATCTAGTATTAATAATATTCTAGTAGTATTTTTTAATATAAAATATATTTTTTATATGATTAAATATCATTTTTGTCATTTTTATATCGCAATCCTCAAAAACCAACCTTTTTGAATTATGACAATATTGACAATTTTTTAAATCGTTCTTTTGGAGTTATGACGATTTTGACAATTTCTTATGAAGTTAAGTTAAATAAAAGAAAAATCGCGATTTTTTATGCCACTTTTGAAGTGAAAGAGTGATATATTCAAATCTGATACCGTTTCTGTAACTTTTAGCGTTACTGATAGAACTTCTATATCATATTTATATCGATAATCTTATTGATTCATTGATTTCGATACAGCAAGGATATTCTCGTTCGTATTAGTACAACGAACCAAAGACGGCGCCAGGACGGCGAACAGTGTTCGTAAAGAAGAAAAAGTGCTGCTAAGTACCGACTAAAGGATTGTCAATACCCCTCGTCTTTTCCTTTACCCTCTACCCTTCTGTTGACGGCTCTCAACGGAAATGTAACTTTCCGGAGGAAGAAAGAGAAAACGAGAAAGAGATTGTAGAAGAGCGGATTCCTCGCTTTTTTCCTTCCGTCGTGTCATCCCTTCCTTTACAGACTTTCTCCCCTATCGTTCTCCTTATCTTGCCGTCCTTTCCCTCCTCTCGAGATTAATTATTCGACCTTCTTCTCGCGTCATTACGCACCGGCTGCAAATAATCAAGGGACTCGATTCTGACTTTTTTTTTTTTTTTTCAAAAAAGCGACCATCGCTTAGCGCTTCGCTTGCGCGATCCTCGAAAGTCCTTGTTAAAACTGGCAAGAGGAGCTGGAAATAGCGGACCAAGGAACAAGTTGAAACTTTTCGCGAGTCTTAATTGGTTTTATAAACGAAGATTGGATCGAAAAAATATTATTTGCTTTAAATAAAATATTAATCGAACAAAATATTACCGTACAATTATACATGCCGACAAAAGTATGAAAATATAAAAATATAGAAGTACACTTCAATAAATTAAATTTACATTCAAAAGAGAAATTACTAAATTATAATTAACCACTACAGAATGGAAAAGAAAGCTACTACAGTGGCATTGAAAAAATATCGAAAATATACTTTGAGTCATACTTTGAGACAAGGAAATAAAAAATATAATAAGGAAATAATAACATAATAAATTATAACATATCTTATTCAAGAAAAAGTTGTAAGATTTAAAAAATACACTTCTACCTTCTAAAGGCTAATAAATTTTGTTTTATATGAATTGTATAAATGGACCAAAATTTTATCATGATTCATTATCATACAGCAAGAAAAAGCTATAGATATCCTCGATATTACAATCGATTTATACCTATACATACCTACATACCAAGTAACAACAAGATCAATTCTTCGCATGTACACTTTCTTATTTCCAAAAAATGACACTTTTTGGATATTCCGAGTACTTTTCATAAGTCGCGAGCATGTCGACTGTACCCGATGAATGATCCATTCCTGATCAGAGGAAAGCGGGAAAAGAGTACGGCCTCGCGGGCGCAGTCCTATATGAATAATACATCGAGCCTCGCGCGTATTGACGCGTAGTGGGGAAAATTCGTACGTATATATGAGCCGGTTCTTGGCCTATTTTACAATTCCTTTGATATGTTCTGGTCTCCTTGCACAAGCGAACTGAATGCGGCGGCCAGCAAACGGAAGGACGAAGTCACGTCCCCAATGCAATTTGCCAGTGCGGTCTATCTACGATTAGTCACCGCAGATTTTATTTTTATTTTTGTTTCTGATAACGAGAACAGAAATAGGGAATAAATCCTATTTTAAATTCAGCATTCGCTTTTATTGACTTTTATATTAGTGGATTATACAGTAGTTTTCCAAAGTCTATTAAACCAAAATTTATTGCTTTAGGATTTTACGGGAGAGAGATGACATTTTCAATAATTTTTATTTTAAACACGATCGATTTTCGATTTTAGAAGACGTAAAAGTCGAGGTGTAGACTACGCCACTTTTACGGGATATTCTACGATATTGGTCTTTCAAAAGGGGAAACTTTACAAAGGTAGGCAACTAACCGAGCTGTCAATAACTTCGTGGTGTTGAAAGATGATTATTCTAGACAAACGCTGTATAAACGAATGCATGCTCGTGGTACAAGTTCGCCAGTGGATACAACAAAGCCGAAAGGACGACGAAGATTCTCGAGAATTGCATTACTAGGTTCCATTTAAATACGCTCGCTAATTGCACGTACGCGCGCGACGTAAATGGCCATTCACAAGAGGATTACGCGCTTGACGAGTAACACTCAAGGCGTTGATTATGCACACTTGTTTCGTGACATCGTTAATTAGATGTTTCGCAAGGAAAATAACGATCAGTAATCGCAAACGCGGATTCATTATGAATCTCTTTAAGAAATGATGTGAAAGAAGACGATAATTTAATACATTTAACACTTCGAAATTAATTAGACATCTATACATTTCGATAGCAATTGCATGATAGCAAATGATTTCTACACTGAAAAAAAATATAGTCAATTTTAACAAATATTTAGTTCAATACTGCCAACTAAATATTTATTAAATATAAAGATATATTTATTTGATACAAGAAACATTAATTTGATTTAAGGATCATTCTTTTTACTGAACAAATATTTATTTACTGTAAGCAAATGTTTAGTTGGCAATATTGAACTAAATATTTATTAAAATTGACTATATTTTTTTTCAGTGTATACCTTTAACGTGCGCATCAATTATTTCAGCTATTATAAAGCTATTATTAATAATGAAAGCTTTTGTGATAAAAAATAAAGTTTTCAAGCTGACATTATATACTTAAAAAACTGTAGGCTATTATAAAACATTAACTTTAATCTTAAATGTTAAAAAATGCGATTATGTAAACTTTAACTTTATTTCCTGTCGTTTCCATGATTGACAATTAGCAGGGTGATAATTAAGTACACTGATAAAAATGCATGTAATTTTACATGGAAATTACATGTATATGACTGGAAAATTATCTAAATTACATAAATATGCTTGAAAATTTACTGGAAATTGTAAATTTCCAATCATATTTAGGCAATTTTCCAGTCATGAATATGTAATTTCCATGTAAAATTACCTACATGCATTTTTTTCAGTGTACCTATCTCCGCGAGCAAACATTCATTAAAAAATGACTACTATCGATCAACAAAACAAATGGTTAATTACCGTTGATTACCGTTTTCTTAAAGTAAGAAAATCATTTATGAACTTTAAAGTACACTGAAAAAAATGCATGTAATTTTACATGGAAATTACATGTATATGACTGGAAAATTATCTAAATTACATAAATATGCTTGGAAATTTACTGAAAATTGTAAATTTCCAATCATATTTAGGCAATTTTCCAGTCATGATTATGTAATGACCATGTAAAATTACATGCATTTTTTTCAGTGTAATTCAGATTTTACATGGAAAATATGTATATAGAATTAATTACATGTAATAAATGTGTGATTAAGCTAAAAATTGTGTTTTATTAATTCTAAATGTTTCTACATTAATATTGTTTTGTTTTAACATTTTTTTACATCGGAATAATCTTTTTTATTCTTGATTGCAATACCTTCACACTTCGGTATCGCAGCTGAGATACAATGAAAAATATTTTTATAATTAATATTAGAAAATTCAAATGAACACTTAAAAAAGATAAAATTTATACAGACAGACATTCCAAATATTAATAAATTTCTTTTTGTTTTTTAATTGACTATACAGACAGGAAATTACATAGAGGGGAAATGAAATCTCATTTTATATTTAATTTACAATTACGGAAAGTGTACGCTTTTATGACGTACCTACTTACGAATACTTTGCTATTTAAAATTATCTCCTATAATATGACATAGTCCAGTTGGAAAATCATTTAAACTTTCAACGCAATGAATATTATCCATTATTAACAAATGTCCCTATTCTGTATATTCTACTTCTGAGACAATAAATAAAATCATTCCAATTTTTATTCCTTTAATAACATAAATAGAATGACACCCCTGATAAGTAGCCTCTCGTAAAATATCCCGTCATCATAAATACATGCACACTAAAGTTCCAGAAATAGACAAAATTAACATAAAATTATCAATATTATGAAATCATCTAATAATAAAAATTAAATTATTAAAAATTCTAAATGAAATAACAATAGGCCACGGACTAGGAGTAACTAAATGAAAAGGATGATTTTGATATTTAGTCATAAAAAATTAATAACAAACAAATCAAAATTAAATCTCATTTCTATACAAAGCTGAGAGAATTTAATATATTTAATATATTTATGTATATTTTCATTAGTACAAGGATATTTTGTATTTAATTATTGCCGTTTTTATGATACGTTCCTCTCTATTAGCTCACAGAATAGTAGCAGGTCATCCTGCATGAAAGAGTTAATGTAAATAAATTTTCTGCTTCGTACCGAGTTAAATGCAAGGGCGTTAATGAGCCTTTTGTGGATAAATTTGTTCCAGGATGTGCATTTAACGTATACAACCAGCATCGCATATATAGGGTGGCGTCGGCTTGACGCAAGTGCATCTTTTGTCAGGACGCGTGATAATAAAACGTATTAATGCGCTACACATTGACGTTCGATTCGCGAAAAAGCGAGAGATTATCGTATTTATCGAATGAAATATTTATTTAGCCACATCGGATGTTTTAGTACATAATAATTGATATCCGATGTTCAAACAATCAAACACATGTCGATGTTATTATTTCGATTTAGATATATACAGAGAAACTTGAATTTTATCTTCGTTCTTCTATAAATAATAAATAATTTCAATCAAAGTAATAATTTTTAAAACGCCTAATATTATTTTAAATTAAAGAATTACGTACACACATACAAAAGAGAATACATTTATGTTATTAATTCCGTTATAAAAATGTGAAGTCTGTTATTATTAATTCCGGCATAAAATAAAGCAAAAAGATATTGAAGATATTAAGAAGAACGATAATCCTGGCGAAATCCTTAATTTGTTTTTGAGAATCAACTTAACTTAAATCGTTTTACATAGAAAAGCAACAGCATCATTGCAGCTTTGGCATGGGACCAGTCACCCCTCGAGTTATTCGCGGAGTCTGTCAACCTGTCTTTGCCCTCAATCGCTCAAAACAGCGAGGCGGTCCTCGCGCCTCAATGAGCGTGTTAAGGGCGGCAAGAGTGCAACGCGCGATGCACAATGAACATCACGCGGAGGGGTGAATCAGTAAACACGGATGCGTACGACAAACTCTACCCGCTCTCTCCGAGAATCCCCAATGGCTCATTTCGACGCCATATGTCCACGTTTTTAACAATACGTGCTCCTTCCTTTCTGCTCGTCGTTGCTTTTTATTCTTCATTTCCATCGACATGTCGCTTTTTCTATCGCTCGTCTGTCATTTCGTTTCGTCACACTTCACCGTTTGCAAAAAATCAATCCTGGAGATTTTCACGCTTTATAAGAACCTCGGTTAATGTTGATTAATGATTAATTCGTTTTCGTTTTATTTAACCGATTTGATTAATGAATAATAGTAATAGACATGCGATCGCGATGCACATGTATGAACTAATTAGAACGTAATTGTGTCACGCCGATTTACGATCAGCGAATTTTTGTCAAATAGAAAATAATGTCTTTTATTTTTATATCAGCAAAATTAATATGATTTTTACATTTCACATACAGCGACAATATTTTTCACGGAATGTTGATAACAATATTTTCACATTTAAATTTTTTTCCACATACAGAATGTTGCAATATTACTATATTATTCTGACATTTCAAGAGATGTTATATCTCTCATTGTTTTCAGATTAAAAATTTGCGATTTATAACTTTCGAATTTTTCCATGTATTTAAATTAAATAAACAATTTTGAATTAGATACAATCAAATTCGATATGTAACTGCGGATACGTATTTATAAAAATTAATTTACATTCCAAAAAGAAATTTTATGTCGAATCATGTCAAGGAACTCGAGTTTCTTCCTCGAAATAACCAGACGATAGAAGTGAAATCCCTCTTTCCTTGACACACCCCTTCTTTATCGGCATTTGAGGATGAAAAATCTCAATCAATATCTACATCACGAGATGCCCATAAAATAAGGCTACACCGCGGCGACTTGGCGACGCATCGTCATCAAAGAGCAGTTCGAACTTTCCCTCTTCGGCCTGCTGCAGACGAATAGGATAGAGACCGAGCCTAGGATAGCAGGAAAAGCGATATCATAAAGGGTAGGACAGGGAATTGAACCAGTCCCAACGAGAAAAAAAGGGCCGGTTCGTTATAGTCTGCTCGATGTAATCTTTAAGATGAGATCGCGCTGAGTCCATGAATCGTCGACGAGAGCGAGCTCGTTGCAAAACTTTGCTTTGCGTTCTCCCTCTTCTTTCTACCTCCTCATGATCCCTTTTCTTCATCGTCTTTCTAGTTCGTCCTCCTTGCGGGAGAAAAAAGGAAAACCGCAGCGGCCATTTCAGAAAGTTAAGGAATATCGCGCGCGCGTAAGATCGATTCCTTGCCTGCGAAATAAACTCGACGATGCGCCCCGTTTAACCTCTCGATACGTAAATACGTACCGGTGCAATATTTCTTGTCGTCTCGGTTGTCGGAATCGATCTGCCGTATGAAAGAGAAACGATATTTTATATTTCGCACACGTATCTCTCCTCTTGTTTTATGGATTTACTAAATTCTTTTTATCTTGCTATTTGTATTTACGTAAACGTGCGCGACGAGAATTTTATTATCCAAAATTGCCGGAATATACGGAATATTGCAGTTTCAACACGCGGAGCTTTCGTTGCGCATTATTTAACATATTTAAAGTTAATTTTTCCCTAGTGGAAGTTTGATATGAAAGCCTTAATACGATAAATATTTAAAATTTAGAATGGAGAGCATTCAATGTAATGGTATATAACAAAAATATGTTGTTTCACTAATCTCAAATGGATTAAACAGTTACTTTATTTCAAATTCATTTACTGAATCTTTTAAAGGAATTTTTTTAAAGGAAAAATTATTACTTTATAAATTCGTAAAGAAAAAAATTGATTAAATATAAATCAAAGTCAAATGAGACATCCTATATGTAACTGATAGTAAACATCCAGATACCATAACAATAACGAATGATGATAAAATTTTCCAACAGCATATAATTAAACGTGTTTGTAATTAAACGGTATTAAACAAATCTAATTAAGTAACAAAATTGTAATTAAATGTAATGATGAAAATGTAATTGCGCTTCCTGAAATCACGCAAAATGAAATGCGCGCTGTAACGCGATCTAAATAACGTATTTGTTTGTTTACAACTTAGCCACGATTATGATAATAGAAGCAATGTACACCGCGCAGCCGTCCAAACATGAACGATATCAATTCTGGGAGGGAAATGCAACGTCGCGATACGTCGTCGGGCGTTATAGCGTGCTGATTGTTACTGCACATTATTGCATTACAATTGCAAATGCATCGCAATTTAATTACAATGCGACATGACGTGATGTATCGGACTCGACTATCGAAGGAGCCAACATGTCGATATCAAAGAGAATTCAAATGCAATCTCGAACGTTAAACCTCGTTATAGTATAAATACCGTTTCCGAAAAACTACATTTTCAAGTAAATCGCTACATATCGAAACTGAGTACAAGAAATATGTTTGCTGTCGCTTTGCATTCGATGTAAACATCAAATTATTCGTATATTAAAGTATCAAAATATTGGCAAAGCTTTATATTTTATATACATGAGTTGTATAATAAAACATAAGAGAATTATATATTATGTGTTTTCATTCGATTTTCACAAAGTTTACTATTCTTAATAAAATTCGCTTAATAAATAAAATATAGCAATGTATGCGTAAATAAGGTAAGTCTTTAATTTCTAATCCATCAAAGAAAAATTTTCGGATTCTAAAATTCTCAAAGACACAAATCTGATTTATTAAATTCAACAGACTTATTTCTCTAATTGCTTTCAGCTTTCCAACGGTTAAATTATTTCAGTAAATGATAATATGCAAGATATGTTGACACAGAACTCGCAAAATTACTATTAATTAAATTAAACAAAGCAAGCAGTTAAAATTATGAGAATTTTTAAGTGAATACTTTGAATTATTTCGAATTCAATCTAACTAAATATATTTCTGGATATTAAAATTTCATTCAGCATTTGCTTTGAGTACAAATGATAAAAATATAGAATCCGCTTGGCAGTGGTTTGACGTGGGCAAATAAAAATCGGTGTAGCAAGAATTTCGTGAGGGTGTAGTCAGACAGATGTCTGACTGCGATAACGTAATGTTAGCAATAATGTCGTATTGTGGTGGAATCAACGAACTCTCCTGAATGAGGGTCGTTGCAAACGAAAAGAAGACGATTTAGGCAAGATCAAGTTATTACAATATCCTATTATAGACTCCGTACAAGATATCATCCGGAAAAACCCATCCGCACTAAGCTTCACAATTTTTTGGAACATCTGAAAGAAGCATTTCTAGCTGTTCTCATCTATTGATATTATCAAGCAATTCAATGAATAATACAAATAATACGTATAGCTAAAGTAAATACTTCTGATATACGCGATAAAAATTAAAATTATTTTTTTTAATTAATATAGTATAACGTGAATTATAAAGTTAATTAATAGTGTAGATATATATATATATCCTATATTTTATATTAAAAAATCTTTCGATTTTTGTAGTATATATTTAGTATTCTGAAATATTGGTTTGTAAACGTTATAGCTACAAATAATAATTAAAATGCAGTCACCCAAAATTCCGATGCAATCAAATCCGTCTGCTGCTCCCGTTACTAACGATGTTAACGATTAATGTAAATAATAATTATCTGATCAAATACGCCATCAATTAGACGTGAAAACGTGAAAAATGGCATTCGTGAATTTATCGAGATTCGATATCGCGGCCAAGTTATCGAGCATGATAAAAATCGCTCACTGTAGCAGGGCTATGCAATCGATTCTCATGAAAGAGTGAATTACTATCCGCCAGTTAGAGCTGTCAGAGTTCTATATTAGCCGAAAGAGAGAAAGAGAGAGAAAGAGAAAGAGAGAGAAAGAGAAAGAGAGAAAGAGGAATAAAGAGCATGCGGTGTCTGGCGTAGGTGATTTTATTAAAAATTCATGCGTTTGGGAACTGCTGTCGGAACCGAGCTTGCCAGATCAAGGC